TCCGAGAGCAGGACTCCGAGGTGACACTGGAAATTCCCATCATGAGCAACATTTCTGCGAACGGTGACTGTGTATCGGGTGTGCAGAAACAGCCCTTGCCCAGAGAGTCCTCCTCCCTCCTCCGGAGCAGGCAGAGGCCCGGGAGGGACTCTACAACCGACCCTCCGGTTGTTCTCCGAGTCCTCCTCGCTTAGAAGAGCTCGTTTCTGTCTCAGACGGCTGCTGCCAACTGCAAAGACCATCCTCATTTCTTTTCTCCATACCTACACAGAGCTGCCCACATCTTGGACCAACTTCCAAGCTAGGCTGGGCTGGGAACATCTAACGGGCAAAAACCCAGAAGGGATTTAAGAGGGAAAATGTGAGGAAAACGATGGGAGATGCGGGGACATTGGCACGGAGAGAGCAGCGGGGGCACAGTGCGCAGGGCACCCGTGAAGGGGTTAAAAACCTCGGGGGAATGACAAGATTCTGCTTTCAGGACCACAGAGCAGGCAAGGACAGCTCACTGAGATGAAGTCATGCTTCTAAGTTTGGCTCGTGTTGGTCTTGTTGTGGTGCCACTTCGCCGCCTGCAAGGAAGCTGCGCTGGGGGGTTGGCGGGGAGCGAGAGAAAAGGGCACCAAGATGGAGAGAGAGCTCGGACGATGCCTCTGCCTGTCCCGGCCCAGACCTCGCAGGCACGCTGCGGTAACAGCACGCTTCTCTGCCAGCCCAGCGGAGCTGAGGCGTGCATGTGCCTCTCAGCTTCCTGCCACTGGGGAATGAAATCCATTTAAGAACATATATATATATATATATTTATATATGTATGTATAAATACACATACACACACGCACGCACACGTATATATATATATATACACACACACACACACGCACACATATACACACGCACACATACAGAGCAAATTTAAAAAATAATCTTGAGTCCGAGCCTGGAAAGTTGAATTCTCCACCAGCATGTGCAAAGATGGCTCCCCTTGGCAGGGGCCGGGGGCGTGGAGACAATTCTGCCGCTGTCTGCTCCTTCCCCACGATCCAAACACCTTCCAGTCAGCACCAGGAGCAGGAGGGGAAAGGGAGGGGGGGGAATGCATTTGGCTTGTTTGTTTGTTTGTTTGTTCTGTTCCCCGAGATGTTGTATATCTTAGTGGTTTTGGTTTTTTCTTTCTTAAAATAAAATATACACACGCACATTAAAAATATATATCTGTCCAGGTAGGGTGATAAAAGTCCTTAGTGCATTTTCCATCATCGGTCGCCACTCGCAATCTGAGATATGCCCATTTTCAAAATGTACGTCCAGTGCAAGCGTTGATCTCAGACGGGACCCCCAGCCTTACCAGAAACACGAGGGGAAGGGGGAATATTCCCCTTCTGCCTTCTGTCCATTTGTTTTTCTCCTTCTCTTGCAAGAAATTGGACCCACTCTCCTTTTCACATTTTCCATCCCATCCTCAGGAGCAGGGAAGGCATTGTCCTGTCCTCATCGCATGTTGTGGCTGTCAGGGTTCATGGTTTTATTTGTACTTTGTTCTTTTCTCATATATATATAGATAGATAGATAGGTCATGTTTGTCCTTTTTTTGTGTGTGTGTAAAATTATGCTAATAAATGAAAGAAGGGAGAGGCTTTGGTGGGATAAGGTCCACTGATGGAAAGGGAAGCACCAATTGCCGTCTGAATCAGACGTCGAGGCAGACGGACAAAGAGGAAAAGTTATCACTCCGAGGACCCCATGGGGGCAATACAGCAAATATATTAAATAAACCTGGAAGCGAAACAAAAACAGACGCGGCATTAGAATATGTAACCCTCTGCCCCTGCAACTCCCCTCCTCTCCCGTTTTCTCCTCTGGAAATGTTTGTGTCAAAGTGCCAGATTAGAAGCCCAGGAGGGCTTTTGACCTTCTCTATTTTTTCCCCTGGACAGCTTGAGCCAGAGCTGAGATTTGCATGGGTTTGCATCATTTCTGCCCTGGGAACCTTGGGCTGGCCAGGAAGATCCTGGGATAATCAGAGCCCTCGTAGTGCTAAGCGTGGGAATACCAATCCCAAGACACCGCCTGGCGCCCCGCATCCCCATCTCTTGAACACCACGCAGCTGGAAGCCCATCGTCCCCCTCTCCCAAGTCCAGGGGCAGTGAATGTGAAGTGAGTGGCCCAGGCTCCTTGAAGGGGCCGCGGCAGAGCTGGAACTGCTGAGTCACGGGCCAGGGCTTTCCCTGCTGGGCTGTGCTGCCTCTCTCTAAATTCAGCCCCCCAGGTCCACACCCTGTCTACTCTTTCTTTTCTGCACCTTTCCCTCTCTCATGAGGAAGCAGGGCTTATTCTCCTTTCCCTTTTACCAGTGAAATTCTTCTGATGACAAGGGAATTATTCCTGTTTACACAAGTCAGGGAGAGAAGAATCAGACCCTGGGCTGACAAAGTCCAGATCTCTTGCCAGAGATTCCAGTTCTCCTTTCCCCTGATATGACCTTTCTTATGCACACAGGCTTCCCGCTAGGAGAGAGGTCAACCAAAAGTGTTGCTGCTTTTCGGTCCTTCTGCCAACTCAACTAATGAAATAAAAGGAAAAGGGATCCCCAGAGCAACATTAATTCTCTGCTTTCAACGGAGAATCAATAGAGAAAGGAGAACAGGAGTTGCTCTGCAGAAGAGATGAATTGCACGGACCCCACGGGGATTTAGGTGTAGAGAGAAGTCAGGCCCACTCTCTGCCTGGGAGGGAGGCAGAGAACGGGGAGGGCAGGGCCCGAGAGCAAGTATGGTTGCAGCGTGATCCTTCCACCTCTGCAGAGAGCCATAAAGCCATAAATAGGATGCACGCGTTGGGTCCCAGCCTAGTCCTTCCCCCTCCTTCCATCCTGGTTTTATCACACCCAGGCCCTGCAGCAGCCCCACACTGAATCAGCGCCTGGTGCTGTGGGAAGCGTCCGAGGCGCTCGGGCAGAACAGTGTCCCGGGAGAGCATTTCTCCTGACAGGACAAGCAGCTTGCTGTTACCTGCCTTGTGCTCTCTCTCCCCTGCCAGCACTTCTATGCTACGAGGATTTCTTTCAGCACTTTCTTATCGTTGACATGCTTGTACTTCTTATGTTTCCTCTTCTGTGCCGGCGGCCGGCTTACTCGCTGCCTCTGTGAGACAGCGGCTGTGGTGAACGACGGTGACAGACCTGCCAAAACAGAGGGGAGAGTGTCTGTGCAGGGTCATGTTGAAATATTTGGGTCATGTTGAAACATCTTTCCCCACAGACTATCAACAAAGAGCTCTGCAACAGGAGGGCCACAAGGCCTCCTTCTTCCGTCTTTCTGTGCCTCATCCTCTGTTCTCCACAGCCTCTGCTCTCTCCCTTTTCCCACGATGCCCTTCCCCTCACCTCTCACCTTCCCTTCCTTCATTTCCCTCGGTTCCAGCCCCTTGCTGGCAGGCAGACATCCTGGGAAAGGTCCCTCGGCTGCTATAAACCAGCGAAGGCCCATGGGATTCACTGGAGCTAAGCAGATTGAAACCAACGGAGGGCTCTTTCCTCTCCCCCCCCCGTCCCCCGTCTCTCTTCTCACGCCTCCCTGCACTCCACTAATGCCGAGGTCCTTACGTCTCTGTTCACGTGGCCCTGGCCGGCTGCTCCTGGGGGGCTGACGGGACACCGCTTCACACCGACACTGCACGTGGTCCTCCAAAGGCACGACGACTTTTTTGAATTTTGGCTTCCTCTGGACAAATTCGATCTTATTCACCTATTGGGAAGAGGGAGGCAAGCAAAAGATGAATACAGCTGTGGCTCCCCCTCTGCAAAAATAATCAGTGTCAGTATGCTTCAGTACCAGCTTTCTTCCTAAAGGGTCAGAAGGCAGTTTATAGAGCATGGTTCAAATTCAGGGGTGGTGTGTATGGGAGCTAATTCTGCACAGACCAGGCAAGCAGACCTAGACCAGGCAAGTTTGGATGTGACTGGTTGTTTCCCCCTTTCCTAACTATTGCTGCTGCTTAAGCGGGATGACTGGCTGATCACAGTCAGAAACATGGGACGTGCATGACATGCTGGCCTGTTTCTGACAGCTGCGATGGCGGAGACCTGGGGGCAACCAGAATTCATTCCCACAGGATGCTACAGGAAGGGCAAAAGGAGAAAAAACTCAGGCCCGATGCAAGCAAATGCAGCTTCACCAGCTCTGCTGAGGCCTGTCTGAATTTGTCTCATGCTCTTTAATAACTCGCAGGGCTGAAGCCCTCAGCTCTGTTTCACGGGAAAGGCAGTGCTCTGGAAATTCCCTCGGACTCTCCACCAGTGCTGACTCAGAGGGAAGACTCACTGTTCCACATCCCACCACAGGGCATGAGCTTTCTAGGGTGTCCTCCCACTCCAGGAGCGGCCAGGCCTGACCCCACTCAGCTTATCTAACAAGACCGCGGTCCTTGAAGTGCTCCACAAGCTATAAATACTTGCTCTGCCGCGCGTCTGGGATTGAATTCCTCTAAACCCACTGCCCCCAGCAGCATCCCTCAGCCAGTGCTGAAGCAGCCAGGCTGTTTATCTTTCCTTGAAAGCCCACTCCACACGCTTCAGACCACACGCTGCTCGCTAGACAAACACTTCCAGCCAAACAATAGAGAGACCTCTGTCCTCAAAGAAACCATTTCCAGGTCACTTTTTCAGGCTGGCTTTTGACCTCTCACTTGTTTTTTCCACAAAAACAACTCCTGCTCCCCCCCCATTTTTCCCTCATTCAGCCTGGCTTTTCTGAGAAAGGAATTTCCTGATGAAAAGGGCTGTGTGAATACAACCTCTCCCAGCCAACCTCTGCCGCCTGCCCGGGGGAGTCTCTTACGGCTCAGGCAGAGGATTAGTACGGGATGAGTATTATTTTTAAACAAGCTGTCTGGGAGGAAGCTGTGAGCAGATCACTGGTAGCTGTGAGGAGGGCAGGATCAGAGCAAGAGGTTAGCCATCAGGTGCCTGCTTGCTGCTGGAGTGGGTCAGGAGGCAGCCGTGGGGCTGAGAAAGAGGAGAAGCTGCTCCAGTGCGTGTCTCGGGAAGAAGCTGCAGCAGCAGCGGGGGGATGGAGACTGACACCGCAAGCCCTCATCTTTTTGCATCAAAACCAGTTTCCGCAATGAAAGCGTCCTGTTTCTTCTGCTCTAACGCAGCAGACAAGGCTGCCTCGAGCCACAGAAATAGCCGCGGCGTGGAGCTGCAGCTGGGGACGGTGCCCTGTAGCCCTGCTGTGGTGACAGTCCCCAGCTGCTGGACAGCACCAGCCTTCCCAGCAGCTGGCAGGGACGGACAGACGTCACCCCACGCCAGAGGCTGCAGCGCTGAGTGATTAATGCAGAAGGCATGACTGCAGAGGGGGTGCAAGGGATCAGACCGCTGGGTGAGCCTTGCACCTGAGATCCGCTGTAGTTTTTGGGGGGTAGGGATGGAGGTGGGCTGGGGGGGGAGGGAGCAGCAGCCAGCATCTCCCTTACCTGGACGTGCCGGACGCGAATCTGCGTGGGGCGACACTGCACGTTGCGGTTGTTGCAACACCCAGAGCAGCGCTGCACCTCCACGCAGGGCGGCCACACCACAAAATTGGCGTTGGTGCTGTCCACCATGTTGCGGGAGATTTCAAAGACCACCGCCCGCGTCTTGCACTCCGCGAGGACAGCTGGCTCCGCCGCTGCCAGAGCATCTATGGAGGGCCGAGAGAGGAAGGGGGGATGAAATGGGCTTTGCAGCTGTTACCAGCCCGCCGCAGCCACCTCTGCTGGGAGAGAAAGACCCCCCACATCTCTCTCTCACACACACATGTTCTTTCTCCTTCTCCCACCCCTCCAGCTCCCTCCCTGGACAGAGCTGCACCCCGTGGAGGAGACCCCAGTAAAATGATGCATCTCACTGCAGCGGCAGCCCTAGGCAAGGAGATGACACTTCTTTAGAGCAAATCAGCACCAGCAGGATTTAAAGCAGAGCAGCTTGCAGAGCTCCAGACTCCCTCTCCTGCCCTCCTGGGGTGCAACACCCTGCTCCTGTGCAAAGCCCAGACCCTCATTCCCATCTTGTCTACACATCCATGCGCACTGTAACCTCTCCCCCCACACATGTATCTCAGACATGCCTCTGCACCCACCCAGAGCTGCTCAGGTGAATGTCCCAACAATCACAAGGCGCAACACCCCCGACTCACCTAGGCTTCGTCGCTCTCGAGACAGGGCCACGGGGTTTTGACCACTCTGAGTTGCATTCAGGTCCAGGCTTGAGCTATCCTCCTCTGCAAAGGGAAAGGCATGACCAAATAGCACCAGGTAGAGGCAGGAGAAGACATCAGGCACTTGTGCTCTGCTCACCGGGCAAGGTGCAGAGATGTGGGATAAGCCATGGCCCCAGTACGTCATGCTACGTGTCAATCCACCTGCAAGGTCACAGCTGTGCTGGGGCACTGAGACTCTAGGTTTGCTCTTTACTCAGGCTTTGTTCAAAGCAACAAGCCTATCATGAAAGAGGGGTCCCAGCCAGGTCTGGGAGAGGAAAATTCCAGCTCAAGAATGACAAGGCCTTTGGCACGGCTTTCTGGTCTCAGAGAGGAGTAGCAGAGGGGTCCAGATGAGCTGGCTGAGATCAGGATACCATAAGAAGGATCAAAGACCGGGTGGGACCAGCAGAAAGTTTGGTATACAACACTGAGGTGCCTTGCTGGGATAGCTTGGGACTGGGAGAGTTGGGCTGTGAGGGGGCAGGTGAAGGGGATGATGGGTGGGAGGTGGGGTGCTTGCTTTCTCACTCCCAACCCACCGCAGCCGCTCTAGATTGGAGTCAGTTTTATGACAGAAGAATGGAAAAATAAAGTTCGAATTACTTTTCCCCTATACTACTCTAAGGTAAGCTGCAGGATCTGGAGGCAGTTCAGTCAGCGATGGGAGAGGAAGGCAGATAGCATTCAGGCCAGCCCTGAGCGGTTCCCTCCCACCCCACTGCTTTTTCCCATAGGAAGCACTGAATAGAGAAATGCCCATAATCCCCATGGAGCACTCCAAGACGCAGCCCCTCCTGAGCTCCGGACAATGGCCGCGCTCGGAGATAGCTCCCACCCAGCCACAGCTCCTTCCTTCTCTGACCTGCTTTAGCAGCTGAAGGAAGCTGAATGGACGTCAGCATCCAGGGAGCAATTTTCTTATAGGGAATTTGGGGCCAGTGGAAGAGCTCTGTTTATCAGATGTGCGGTGGAGCAGACTTCCCATACCTATCATGTCCCATCCCTCTTCCTCAGCCCTGCCCTAGCTGCAGCTGTCTTATAAGGGGGAGAGGAGACTTTGCTCTCCGCTCAGCTCTGAAGCAATTGCTGAAGGATTTGGGATGGGTGCACAGAGGCTGTATTCACAAGGCAGGAATCATGTGCCTCAGCAGTCAACATCTACATGCAAGGTGGACAGACAGATGCCCTTTAAAGCAGGTGGAGAGGCGTGATCAATTCTGGGACACCGTTAATCTCGCCCTGCAGCAGACACCCAAAATGAGATCTGGTGGATCATGCTCTAGAAGGGCATGTAGCTCTGCCAGGGGCTGCAAAGAGTGCCTGGATGACTGGCTTAGATGGCCATGCCTGCTTGGCAGGCAGTCACAGTTGTAGCGTGTGAGGTCAGGAGAGCAGTATCCCAACTCATCTGCCTCCTGGAGCTGCCTAATCCTGGCTCCCTGTGAAGTCAGTGGAGGGCAGTGGCTGTGACACACGCAGGGGGCATGGACAGCACAGGGGGTAGCCCCAGCTGCTTTGGGGTTATTTTGCCAACACATTTATTTGCTAATACACTAATTCCACACAGGGCAAGCAAATGTCCCTTGGTCACTACCTGGGAGCAGATGAGAACCACAGGGTGCAACAAAGAGACAGCTTCACAGCACCATTTGCTGTTTCCCTGACCAGCCTTTCCCATCTGGGACCTGAAGTGAGACCAGAGACCCAAAGCTCTGCAGCCTTCTCCCATACCCTTGGGCTTTTCAAGCCAACAAGAGATGTCCATTTTATTTTTTAATCATGAGGGTGATTAGTAACTGTGATAGAGATGTATCTGTTCCTTAGACACTGGGACATGACAGACTGCACGCATCTTCTCAGCCACTCCTTCCCCACCTCTCCAGCCTGCGCTGCCTG